AAGGATGTTACTGCAAGAAGTGTGGGACTGAGTGAGCCTGCACGGAATCTATCAGAAGCAGTCCTTACTAATGAAGAGATAATTAACATCCTGGCGAATGCAGGCCAATATTCACGCTGTTACTGTACTGTAGCTGTATGTTCAAACACAATGCATAGGAAGCAGCAAAAGGTTTAATGTGGTTAAATCAGAAAAGTCAGTAAATCAGTCACTGATCTATGAATAATTGTGGGTGATTCTTACAGTATCTGCTGTGCACAACGGCTTTATATTGTATAAAAAGCTTTTCCTTCAGTTCATGAAGTCCCTGCTGCATCTGAAGGCAGGGACGATTATGTTTCTTTCCTTTTTTCCCCGTCTCTCTTATCCAAACACAGGAACCACTGGGGCTCTCTACAAGAAATACAAAGAGACGGCTCTCCCACTCAGAGTCTCGCAACCCAGTCGGTTCCCTCTTACCATTTCGCCGAACCCCTCTGTCCATTCATCTATCCATCTCTTCATCCCTCACCCTTCATTCCAATACCCTTCTTCCTTTTATCCCTTTATCCCTGCATCCCTCAATTCTTCATCCCCTCTTCCCTCATCCCTCAACCCCTATCCTTATCCCTCGACCCTCATACCTTCATTACGTGCAATAAACCTTTCTAAATTCCACACGTTCATTGGTGTGGTCTTTGTTAGTGAAACAAAATTGAAATAAAAAGATTTTTTACCTCTTCTCAAGAGATTGTGACAATGTGATTAGGGTTCATATCAGGCGAGCAAGCAGGCCATGGCATCTGCTCCATCAAGAAATTCTCTCACTACAGCTGCGCTATGTGCTCTTGTGTTGTCGTCTTAAGCCTAAAGTTGTTCCCTTACACGCAAGAAGACCCTTCTTGCGTGTAAGGAAGGCAATTCTCCATGACTGCATTCACGTTTCCGTCCAGCACCACCAATGGAGTTTTTCCTCCATAATGAATACCGACCCATACCATCACTGAGCCGTCACCTCCTTAAATGGTTTCCTGGATGCAGTCATTGTGGAGGTTCTCGCCACGTAATCGCTGCACCCTTTGTCTTCCATCTATACGGTGAAGGATATAGCGGCTCTCATCCATATGAGACAACATTTAGCCAGTGCCCAAGCTGTAATCTTCTGTGCTCCCTAGCCCAGTGAAGTCGAGCAACTCTGTGTTGAACAGTTAGGCGTGGACACTTGGTCATTCGTCTTGCTCGGTAACCATGCTGAAGCAATCTTCGATTTACAGTTTGGCGGGAAATGTTGATACCATTGTGTCTTCTCCACAAACGACGAATGCGGCTTGCTGGCATTTTCCGATTTCTACAGCACAGACTAAGCGGTTGCAGATCACCTCGACTGGTAGTTAGTTAGTAGATTTTCGTGGCCGCAAATGACCCTCCTCTCGATGATGTTTGAGGATTTTACAGACAGCACTTTATACAATATTCCAAGGAAATCAGCAATGTTGGCTTGTTTGTGTCCGTTCTGTTGGAGTGCAAGCACTCTTTGGCGTATTGCAAGTTGCGTTGGACGAGGCATAGCCTAGGGAACTTCTGTGTCAAATTTGGTTGAAAATTATACATCATACTTGCCTTTTATTGTGCCAAACAATTGTTTGAATTGAATTAATTGTCACCTGGGTAACTGGGAGTCAGTATCATTACATTCAAAGGTGATTACTGATGTGTATAAGTAGGAATAAAAAGAGGAATGTGTCTGAAAACAAAATTATTCATCCATATTTTTTCAGTGGTAAGCAAGACAGTGCTCCTGCACACTGTGGCGTATTTTGACAGTGTGCAATTACCTGTAATGAGTACATTACAGCCTGTTTCACAGCTTCAGGTTGCAACATTCACACTCAATACTGGACCAAATTCAAAACCTGTGGTCCCCATTAGTCACTTTGACAGAAAATAGGGTCCAGGTTGAAAAATAACCATCAAAACTTCACTGCACTGTAGTTTTGGATATCTTGCTCTGCACCAAAGTGTCTAATGGGTGACTAACAACTGTAGCATCAGACCAACTGACAGAACAAGATCCAACTGCAAGACTAACGTCTGGGGATCCAAGGCCTGTGAGCCAGTGGGTCCCCTAAAGCCAGGTCCTGTTGGATCTTAACCACTGTATGGTCTGTGTAAACATTGTATAGCTTGGGGAAAAGAGAGATAGCCCACACAAACGGTTTAATGAAGCAACCATGTATGACATTGTCAAGAAACTTCCATGGGAAATAAAAACAGGCTATATTTAGTTTAACACAGTAAATGAGAGTGACACCTACAATTAGGTACTCACATGATATGAAAAAACTCCAATAACTCCAAAAACAATCCAGTACTTGCACTTAAGTATGTATGTGTATAAATATACTTAAAATATGTTCTACAAAGCTTCTACTGAGGTAAAACTACAAAAGTCAACTGTGCACACTGGCGGCCCCAAATGGAGGCAGAGAGGAGGAGGAAGACAATAGGGAAAAAGGAGGGAGGAGGAGAGCAAAGGGAGGAGCGGAGGAGGGAGAAAATGGCACTTGATTGGTGACAAAAGATAACAAGAGGTGGCTGCAGGGAGCCTCCAGAACTCAGACTGGTGTGAATGGACCCCATCTGGTTCCTTCACAAAATGCTGAGGAGACGCAGATAATAGGATGTACACACACACTTATACACACACTCTTTCTCTCTCTATCTCCTTCTCCCTCTGTCTCTCTCTCCCCATTCGGCCTGACCAGTCCCGGGTGGCCTCATCGCCTGGTCCAGGATCCCCCAAAGAGCTCTCGCCCCTCGTCTCCAAGCGTACACTTCAGCTAGACCAATTTAACGTGAGAAAACGTGAGGAGGGCGAGCCGCAATGTCCATCTGTGGCTGGTAGCCTTGTGGGGAGAGGGAGCACATAAGAGAAAATCCCTCTTGTTCATTCTTTTTCTTTTCTTTAAAAAAAGAGGTTTAAAAACTGCAGTCATCTTTTTAGACTAAATCATGAAATGCTTCCTTTTCCTCACAGGTTTTCTGAGTAACAACATCCTCAAAATTGGGATACAGCTTCCTCCCATCTCACACTTCCTATGTATGGACAAATGGTCCACATTGGTCAACATTTATAAAGTCAAAAGAAAATTTCATTTTGACGTAGACTTCCATCTGACATTTAAGGGTTTTTTTTAAATTAAATTACTGGTTTTTAGTTCATGTGCATGTTCATGCAACGCTATGAAATAACCTCTGAAAATGTTTCAAGATTTTCACAGCTGAACCTATTTTAAACGCTCTTTTGTCTCACCTGACACTCACTAATAAGGTCATAATGTATGACAACAGATTACAAGCAAACATGACTCATTTAAAGACAGGTAACAATTGTATTAAACAACAGTGTATGTTTGAATGTGTACAATTAGCTAACCTGGTTAAAACTAAATTTCCATTTCACTTGTAAATCATGTCTTTTCAGTTTATCACATTTCCCCAATAGCAGAATTTAATTTGAGCACATCTCAATTAGCGATGATGGGACTCCCCTCTCTGTTGTGGCTCCACTTTGTGATTTAGACTGATAACACGTCTGGATTTTTACATAAAAACCTGGCACAGCGCAGCTTTAAAGACACAAAATAAACACCTGAGATAGGGAAAGAGGGAACATGTGGAGACCCCCAGGGGAAATCAGACGGTGGGCCGACGCTAACCACCCCAGTATGAACTGTGACTGTGCCGTGATAATAGCAGTAGCTTGCATTCGAAGTGTGTGACCTGAGTGTTTTTGCTTGATCCGGCTCCTATTGTGCATTTGGATTGATGACAGCTGAATACCTAAGGGGGGTGTATGAATATGTAAAATACACTGGTGAGTGTCGCCGTCTCATTGGGTATGCAGCCTGGCAATATGGCCGTCCGACACACAGACACATACTGAAACATATGGTTTTGTTGCTGCTGCCTAGAGAGGTGAGGCAGTGAGGGGACTGCAGCATTGTCCACTGGCTACAGTAAGGACATGACAAAAAGTGTTTCTGTACGTGTGTGTGTGT